ATCCACTTCTTTTTTTACCTGTACACCACTGTGCTCCAGGGTGTCCAGGGCTATATATGAGATAGGACCAAACGCTTCTATATTTTACCTGGCTTTGACAAGAGCATTAGATGGTGTTTTTCCACCCGGGCAAAGCTGGGGACAAATTCCTCTGAATTCCTCCGAGAGACACTGTACGTGTCCCAGGAGACTGGCTTTTCATGTTTTTCCCTTCCTCACAGCCCTTACCCCAGCCACCTGAGAGGCCTGTTATGGATATAATTGGGAAGCAGCTTCCGACTCAGGCTGATCTGCCTTGGTGGTTCACGTGCGTCATGTGCAAAGTGCCAGAAATCCCCCCGGGTTTCCTCCTAGCAGCGGATATGGCACCGCAGTGGCTAGGGCAGGCAGCAGCCTTTGGTCTTCCCTGGGCTGTGTACTGGGCGCGTCGCCTGCTGCCTCAACTCATCGGAGCGCGGCCATGATGAACGTTCGGTACCTCAGTGACCGCCCACAGCGCCTGTGGTAGCGGGTGGATTGGCAATGGGGCAGTTTGCTCGGACCAGGACTTTGGATCATACAGTTTGGCGGTCCTGTCTGTAACTCACTCTCCCAGTCTCTTTCTGTCTAGAGCAAGGAATGCTGCATTCCCCTCAATCACAATGGCTCCTATCCTGCAGCCCATACACTGGCAAAACTCACGCTAAAGCCTGTAGGGCCAGATCACTAGCAGGGGCACATAGGGGGCCTGCCCCACTCTCCTTAGACCTCGGAAGCCCCCCTCCTTGGGGTCAGGAGTCTGCAGCCGGCGTGGGGCAGGCGTTGGGCAGCACGAGGAGAGTCAGTGCGGGCAGGGGTCTGCAGCCGGCGTGGGGCAGGCGTGGGGCAGCAGGAGGAGAGTCAGTGTGGGTGGGGGTCTGCAGCCGGCGTGGGGCAGCAGGAGGAGAGTCAGTGCGGGCGGGGGTCTGCAGGCGGCGGGCAGCATGAGGAGAATCACTGGGGTTGGAGGGGTGGTGGTGTAGGATGCACGTCTTTTCCGGAAGCCCTGCGGTGTTGCCTGACCAATGGGTTGGGTGTTATTTAGTGTTTCCAATTTAACGTGGTGGGGGTTGCCAGGGTTCAGCTGCCTCCGGATTGGCCACAGCCTGGCAGTTTGTTTGAGAGCGAGGCTCTCTGTGCATGCGGGAATGACGCTCGCACTTCGGGAAGGCCGTCTGAATTTGTCAGGGTTGTGTTAGCACAATTAGCTAATCACAAACACTGTGACCTAGCAGAGCAGCCCGAGGGTCAGCCAGCGTTCAGACGCTCCCATCACGCTTTGCGGGGAGCCCCGTAGTAGGTGACTAACCCACGAGTGGTCCTTGGCCTGGCGGGTTCCCGGAAATCTCCCTGGGATTCATTGGCCAAGTACTCACTTTTATAATGGGTTACGCTAACGCCCTCTATACCTCATGCATATGCAATAGGGTTTTCAGCCTCTTTTCCTTATCTACCCTTCCTCACCCTACTAATGTTGGGGGGCTCTTCTCCCATAGGTTACTAGGCCATTTACTTCAAGCTGATGCTCTTACTGTAAAATATCCAAAGCTGCTACAAACTGTTGTCTTGTGGTACCTGTCAGCTGTTCAGTAGCACTAGATGGAGCATTCTGACTGGTGGCATCTGTGATACAGGGTCACTGCTGTCTTGTGGCACCTTATGATAGAAGGTCACTTCCTGGTTAATTGCTTATGTTAAGTCTTTAGGCCTTAGGGCTCAGTTATCTTTGTCCTACAGACTTAAGGCCTGTAGGTTTTTGAGTTATTGCCTTACTCCATAACTATAGGTCACCTAGCACAGGGGTTCGCAATCTTTTTCTTTCTGAGGCCCCTCCAACATGCTATAAAAACTCCACGGCCAACCTGTGCCACAATAAAGGGTTTTCTGCATATAAAAGCCAGAGCCAGCGTTAGGGGGTAGCAAACAGGGCAATTGCCTGGAGCCCCACACCACAGGGCCCCCCCGCGAAGCTACATTGCTCAGGCTTCAGCTTCAGCCCCAGGTGGTTGGACTCAGGGTCTTGGGCTTCAGCCCCATGCAGTGGGATTTTGTCTTTCTGCCCTGGGCCACAGCGAGTCTAATGCTGGCCTGCTTGGTGGCCCGCCTGAAACCTGCTCATGACCCCCCAGGGGGCCCCAGACCCCTGGTTGAGAACCACTGACCTAGCATATGTCTATATATCTATATGGGCTACATCAGAAAAATCAGCCTGTGACTGCATTCGCTCTTCTGTTGATTCTCTCTGTGCCTTCCAAGGGAGTGTGTTCAGGGGCAGATGCCACTGGGGAAAACCTTGGTAGAGGAGCCAGGGATCCCAGAGCTGGTACCGGGCTCCCCCGGGGTGTGGGCTCAGTATCACTGGCTGTTCCATGAGGAGGAATCAGGGGCAAATCCTGTGCCCCAGTGGAATGATCCAAGTTAAAACTCCACGAGGGGATGCTATGGAGTCTCTGCCCTCCAAGTCCTCTCCCCAGCCACCGTATCCCCAGGAGTGGTAATCCAGACTCATGAAGGTTGCATCCATGTAGGTAGCTGAGAGCAGAACTTGACTCAGTGGAAGTTTGGACTGTGTAATGAGCACAGGATTCGGCTTAGCCAACATTTCAAAGTCCTGCAGGGGAACCCCTCTCCCACCTTGTGTACTGGCATGGCTGCTCCGGTCCTCCTGCCCTTGCCACGCGTGTTGGACTGACGGGTTAGTAGGTAAAAGATCCATTACCGTTCAGAACATGCCCCGCTAGGTCCCTGTGACTAGCACCGGGAGCTCAGCTACTGAACGTTCTCCAGGGTCGCTGAATACATTTTTAACTTTAAAGCCCTTGGGCAGGAGGGAAAGTTGTTCCTAAAGGTGCTTATGAGCCAGTAAACAAGCCTAGGACAGCGGGAAGGCGTGGGGCTATTATTAGACCTCACTTGTTCCTTGCTGTGGTGCCATCACCATGTCCCTCTGTGCAGCCCTTAGCAACCTCGGTGCTGATCTCGCCAAGCTCGGGTCAATCCCTGGCATTCACCGTGAAACGACCCTGACTGAGTTCCTGGTCTCTGTCGCTTTTTGCACTGAGAGGAGCTCTCAATACCTGTTCAGGAGCCTGTTGCTTCAGGACATGACCCGAGCACGTGTGTCTTCTGGAGGGTGACACAGTGGTGACCCCATGAAATCATGCCCTCGAGGGATGACGTTGTGTGGCTGTGTGTCATTGCTGGGCTGTTGCGAGTTGATGCGACAATGCAGCCTTGTGCTGTGTTGCCCTAGGATAATGACTATACCTCATGTTTATGCAGCACCTTTTATTTCATGCTCCCGAAGTAGTTTCCGAACGTTAAGTCCCACAACACCCCTATAAGCAGAGGTCACAGTGAGTCAGCGGCAGAGCTGGGAATAGAAGAACCCAGGAGTCCTGACCCCCAGTCCAGTGCTGCAACTATTAGAGCAGGGGTGGGCAAACTTTTTGGCCTGAGGGCCACATTGGGGTTGCGCAACTGTATGGAGGGCCAGGTAGGGAAGGCTGTGCCTCCCCAAACAGCCTGGCTCCTGCCCCCTACTCACCCCCTCCCACTTCCCGCCCCCTGACTGCCCCCCTCAGAACCCTCCACCCATCCAACCCCCCTTCTCCCTGTCCCCTGACTACCCCGACCCCTATCCACACCCCCACCACCTGACAGCCCCCCTGGGACTCCCACCCCCTATGCAACCATCCTCTGCTCCTCATCCCCTGACCAGCCCCTCCCGGGACCCCCGTCCCTAACTGCCCCCGGGATCCCACCCCCTTGCCCAACCTCCCCCGCCCCCTTACCAGCAGCAGGAGCTCGCAGCTGGACACCCGGCCAGAGCCAGCTGCTCTTCCCACGCTGCCCAGCGGAAGCGGCAGTCCAGAGTGCGGCCTGTGTAGCTGCGGGGGAGGAGGGAAGGGGCCAGGGACTAGGCTCCCCGGCCAGGAGCTCAGGGGCCGGGCAGGACGGTCCCGTGGGCCGGTTGTGGCCCGCTGGCCGTAGTTTGCCCACGTCTGCACTAGACACACACTCTGATCATCTAAATGCAGGACCCCGTGATTGTCCTCCAAGGTGGCAGGACAGACCCATGGAACTCGGGCCTATCCCATGATACTCCGAGAACTGTGGATGTAAATACACCTCTACCCTGATATAATGCGGTCCGATATAACGCAAATTTGGCTATAATGGGGTAAAGCCGTGCTCCGGGGGACGGGGCTGCTTTACCTCGTTATATCCGAATTTGTGTTACCGCAAGTGGTTCCTCTGCGCCCGCCTGGTACTTGCTGCGGCCCTCCCTGGGGCTCTCCCGCTCCAGCTCACCTCCGCTCCGCCTCCGCCTACAAGCGCGCCACAGCTCCGCTTCTCCTCCCTCCCAGGCGTGCTGCGCCAATCAGCTCGTGGGAGGAGGCGGAGCGGAGGTGAGCTGGGGCAGGGGGGCCGCAGAAAGTAAGGGGAGGAGGGAGCAAAGAGGAACTGCTCCCCGCCCCAGCTCACCTCCGCTCTGCCGCCGCCTCCTCCCACGAGCACACTGCTCAGCTCCGCTTCTCCTCCCTCCCAGGCTGGCCGCTGGCGCGGCCAGCCTGGGAGGGAGAGGGGAGAAGTGGAGGTGCAGTGCGCTCGTGGGAGGAGGCGGAATGGAGGTGTGCTGGGGCGGGAGGCCCCGGGGAGGGGGGCCCCGGGGAGGGCTGCAGCAAGTAACGGGGGGCGCAGAGGAACCACTCCCCGCTCCAGCTCATCTCTGCCTCCTCCCCTGAGCGCTCCGCCACTGTTCCGCATCTCCCCCCTCCCATCTCCCCCAGGCTTGCTGGGCCAACAGCTGATTGGTGCGGCAAGCCTGGGAGGGAGGGAGACACGGAGCGGCGGTGGTACGCTCAGGGAGGAGGTGGAGGTGAGCTGGGGTGGGGAGCGGTTCCTCTCCCTACCCCGATATAACGTGGTCTCACCTATAACACGGTGAAATTTTTTTGGTTCCTGAGGACCGCGTTAAATTGGGGTAGAGGTGTACTTCCAGCCCAGTTGTAGCTCTTAGCCATTGCTCTACGTTGTGGGATGGTTTTGAGTTGTCCCACCCTAGCAGGGGCCCTGAGAGATTTTATCTCTCACAGGGAGCCAGTGCCTTCAGGACCTTCACAGCAGCTGTAAGGGGGAGTGTGCCCACCCCACCGCTAGACCCCTTCAGTACCATCATGCCTCTGGGCAGAGCCACTTCCTCTGCCCCCTTAGGTGGGGCTAGCAGAAAGTAGCCTCTGTGCTCAGGATGCGATCCTTGCAGAGAGGTTCCCTGTGGCCACCTGCCTCTGCAGCGGCTGGGCACAGCCTGGCCCCTAAGATGGTCGCCCTGAGAGAGCAGGTGGCCCTTGGAGCTGCTTCACCTGTGTGTCCTGCTGCCCAGCTCTGTAACATGGTGGCCCCGCTGCAAGAGGCCTCATTTAAATACAAACAACTGTGCTCTGGCTTGCATGGGAGCGGTTGTCAAGGAGGTTGTCAGGGAGGCTGACATCAGAGATCCCGTCCCTATAGATTATTGTACAGTGGCAGGATCTGTTCCTCATCTGCAAATGAGACAAGAGGGCACCCAGAGGAAACCCTGAGGGCACTTTGCGTCATTGACCCAGGTTGCCTAGCACCGCTGGGACTGGGGAGGGAGGGCCGATTGGCTTTGGGTTTGCATTTTCCCAGGGTGGCCTGTTGGAGAGCCAAACAGTGCTGAGAACTGAGCCGGGGAGGAGAGAGGCAGAGGCGATGGCTGGCGACGCGTCGGAGCTTGAACTCCCCTTCGTCCAGGACGTCCAGCTCACCAAGTGCATGCGGCTGCGGGCACAGAGCCTCCAGCAGAGGAACGAACGGCCGCAGGATGGCGAGAAGCTTCTGCGGCCCAACGAGTACATCTACCGGGTGGATTTCGTCCGGCAGCACAACCTGCACTTCCTGCGCTGGAAGATCCAGATGGAGAAAGCAGGGAAGTTAATGGTGACGGGCACCTCCCAGCACTGGACGCCCGACCTCACCAACCTCATGAACAGGCAGCTGCTGGAGCCGGTGGGCATCTTTTGGAAGAAGCCAGGGACCAAGGAAATGGAGTGTAACGAGGCAGATGCCCAGGAGTTTGGGGAGAGGCTGATGGAGCTGGCCAAGATCCGCAAGGTGATGTACTTCCTCCTCTCCTTCACCGATGGCCTCGACCCAGCCCACCTCAAGTGCTCCGTAGTGTTCAAAGCCTGATCTGTACCTGGGCAGATCCCTCACCTCTTGCCCCCAACCGTGTCTCTCTTCATGTTTCTTTCTCTTCGCTTCGATTCAGTGATTGGTCATTTCTTTTAAAGGGACAGCACGACAAAATTTGCCCTGTTGATTTGCAGCCGGCAGTCATGGTTTGAGAATAGCCAAGTGACTATAACGCTGCCCCGGCTGCCCTCCACTGTCCCGGGAGACTTTCCCCAACAGGTTGTGTCTTGTGGCTGAATGGATGGAGAGGACGGTTGCTTTAGTAGCCTAGAACGCAGTATTGCACGCTAGTTAATTCAGCTGTGCAAGGCGAGCTGTTTGACTAGCAGCCTGCTGAGATGGGGCCGAGCTGGCTTGGAAGCTGTGGGGCTGCCTTGATCAAACCCGACCAACTGCCTTACATAGACGTTAAGGGTCCAGTGGAAATATCAAGGATCTCTACCGCACATCGTCGTGTGGCGTAAGGGAGGTGACACAGACCGGCGCTTTGAGCTCCACTCTCAAGGCCATCATTTTCAAAAGTGTCTGGAGCTGTGGAGCCCAGCACCTCTGAAAATTATGCCCCAGAGAGTCTCGAGGTGCCCCTCATGCCCTCACCTAATGCATCGGAAATCAAGGGCCACTTTTGCAAATTTCAGGCCTGCTGGTCAAACCCCAGTGAGGACTTCAGGCTTTGGACTGATGTTAGTGTCAGCAGCTCGTCTGTTCCCTGCTGCACAGCGAGTAACTCTCACGGTGCATTTGCCTTGCTGTAGTACAAATTGAACTCGGGGACAATGTGCTGCCTGGGGATGTTAGGTATTGAAAGCAGTTGGAAGGTCAATCTGCTACAGGGTGCCGAGCTAGGAAAGTTATAGGGGCAGAGCAAAGGTTTCTGAGCAGAGTTTAACCCTTTGTAGCTCTGAGCCAGATGCGAGTCTTCTGCAGCGCTCTTCCTTTGTAGAGTACAGTACAGGTATGTGATCTCTCCAAGCTTACATAGAAATATATTGATTATTAATGATTTACCTAGGGCTGTAAGCTTGCCCAGTGCTTTACAAGCGATAGAATAAAACTTCCCTCACACCAAAGAGCTTACAACCTAAGGGACTGTTACTGCTAACACTTCCTGCCCTGCATAGAGCTTTGTAGGGGATGTCGCCACATGCACCGTGGTCTGGTGTATAGGCTACATGGGTGGAAGCTGGAGACCTGGATTCTCTTCATAGTACTACCATTTTGCGGCTTGATGTGTGAATTTGGACAAGTCACTGAACTGCTCCGTGCCTCAGTTTCCCCTCTGTGAAAGAGGTGATGATATGGACCCTATTTTGTAAAGCAGTTTAAGAGCCACAGATGAAAAGTGCTATGGAAATGCTAAGTACATGCTACTCTTTGTCTCATGGTCCTGAACAGGATTACACCTGAGAGTGTTTGTAGGACAAAGCACTGGTTGTTCCGGAGGTATATATTATGTCATTGCATGAAAAACAAACCCACCTCAGCTCAGTTCTCAAGCTTTGATCTCACCCACAGTTCATCCTTATTTTTATAGCTGATCTATACAAGCGTCCCCGTGCAGGGGATGGGGAAAGCTCATTTCTTTGCCAAAGAGAGACTCTGAACTGCAAGGCGACTGTGGAAGCGGCTGGTGTGGCAGCCACTGCATACGCAGCAGTGGTGTGGGGCAGGAAGGCAGGCAAATGTGCAGGAGAGTCACGCAAGCTGGTGAGACCACATAAGTCATGTGCGGAAGAGAGCTCCCTTAACTGCGGTACCAGAGTAACACGGGTCTCTCCAGGAGAAAATAACAACATGGCAGGTGCATTCTTCTGTGCTGTCACTTTTATTTGTTCGCTCTCTCTGTCTTTGTTTAGAGCCGTTCCCTGAAGAAATGAGACACCCGGTGATCAGGAGTAGAAGTTTTTCCTATTCCCTTTTGTCACAAAATGTAGCAACTTGGGGCCAGATTTTGCTCTGGGATTTTAACAGCAACCTTCCACTGAAACCACCCACACACATCCCAGAGCATAGTTTGGCTCCTGGCCTGAAATGCCACATGGGCCAATCAGACTGTCCCAGCTCTAGCCATTACCGAAATCGCTGTTACGAGTCGTCAGGACACTTTAATGGTAATTCATTGCTTGTGTCTCACCGCCTGTGTCGAGTTCATGCTGTGCTTATCCTGCTGGGTATGTATTTGTGTACAATGGAAAATAAAAGCCCTTGAGGAATGAGGTTGGATGCGTCTCCCTCTGACCTAAAATGCCCTGGTCTTGCACACAATAAAGGAGAACCCATCAATCTTCACCCCATGATTTTTAGGTGTCTTCTCCCATACACACACACTGCAAAGCTTAAGCTCTGTAAAACGTAATAACTTCGTTCCTGGAGTGAGCTGCGTAGCTGGATATTTAGCTCCACATGTAGCTTTCGAGTGAGAGAGAGAATGTTCAGATTCCTCGGTGTATCTCAGATCCACATCACACGTAAGTCGGTTTCGGGGATGGGATGTTAGCCAATCTCCATGCCCCTGGAGCAGTACCAGTGTCCACTAGCCGAGGGTCTGGCCTCATTACTGAAACTGACCTTCTGCACAGGGGTGAGCAGAAAGTCCCGAGGGCCCCTTTATCCTCAGAAAATGGCTTAAGTGATGCACCAGCTTTTCTGCACAGAGATGGGCTTCACCGGGTTTGTATGTAGTCTTATGACAGGCACAGCTTGGGTCTCCCTCCTTCGGAGTTGGGGAACCCCCCCCCTGGAGAGAGCCCCGCTCTCAGCCTCCTGTTAGGAAATGACATTCCTGAGTTCTCCCCACCCAGGACCATTCTTCCCCGTCACAGATGCCTCGATTCTTAATTGGCATTTACTGTTTGAAAAAACAACAACCAAACAATTCCCCAAGCTCTCCTGAAAATCAGACCCGGAGCTGTGTGGTTATTGGGCCTCTGCTTTCCTTCGTTGGAGCCCTTTGTCAGTCATTCCCCCCACAATGTGTGTTGCGTTGTTGGAGTCTGGGGGCTCCTTGAATCGAGGCACAGAGATGAGCTCCTACAGCACCCACTCATTCCCACAGTCCTGTCCCAGCCTGCCCTAGGCTCAGTGGAAAACCTGGGGTGGATTCTCTGGGGCAGTCTCTTCTCTAGTTGTTCCAAAGTCATGGTTAGGAGAAGAGGTTACAAGGGCATGAAGGGGACGTGGTGGTTCGGTGGTGTGTACCAACCATGTCGTGTCCTCCCATGGGACTCTTGGGGGCTATGAGTCACAATGCACAAACGCCCGGCCGCCCTGCCCATACTACATACACCACCGTGCTTTTGTGATCATGGTGTGACTCTCTGACTTGACCCTCTTGCAGCAAATATGGCTTGGGCTGGGCCTTCTCCGCTGTCACTGAACTGTGTGCACGTACTCACCACCCTGTGTTTGGAGCAGTGCCTCCTGGGAATTCCAGGGGGCTGTCCCATGGAGTGACTTGCATTCTGGGCTGGTATATGACACAGCGAGCCAGGAGGTCTGGCTAAACCGGTCTACACTGCACAAAATAAATGGTGAGTGGGGTGGTGACCGAAGGCAGCCATGTGTCCATGCCCCTGTCAGGACGAACCAGGGCTAGTTACTAAGGAAGTAAGAACCCAGCGGTCTGCAGATCATGGAGGTGTTTGTAGCGACTTCATGGTTCGGCTTCTCCTGGGATTTGCTCTGAAATCCCTCTGTGCTGTGCTTTAATGACCGAAGTTAGGCTCCAGATTTGGCACCACAATCTCTGCTGTTTTGTGAGTGAAGTAGCTACTGGTGTTTGCAAGAGGCAATGTTTTAAAATGCTCCTTTATTTCATATTATTATTTGGAAGTTTTGCCTTATTTTCCTCATTTCTGTGGCTTCCTCTGGCTGAACGAATCCCGTCCCCACGAATGCCATGCATCAAATGCCAACGCTTATTCTGATAACATCGCACATAGAGACTGTGGAGGCAAAACTGGACAGCTGGGTGCATGGAGGTGGGTTGTGAGGAGAGATGGGACTCTGGGGAGAGGGGGATGAGCAGGGATGAGGGCACAGCGGGGGTGGGGTACCAGGCAAGTTGAGGCAGTGACAGGGTTAGCAGGGGATGGTGGGGAAACAGGCTTGTGTGTGGGTGAGACTGGAGATGCAGGGGTGGGAGGTGGGGTGTGTGTGTCTGTGGCTGGGGAGGAGCCTGGGGCAGAGAGAAGGTCAGTATCCCTGCACCAAACGCCTTGGAGCAGCGCCATAGGAACCAACCAGGCATTTACATATCAAGAGCCACCAACGCCACTACTTCCTTGAGGCATTGGGGAGGTTAGAAATCAGCACAATGGGGATCCCTTCAAGTGCAAATGCCTTGGCACAGAAGTACTGGGCTTCCCTCGCTGCCTGCATAACACTGATTTACCCCAACAATCCCCCATCCTTGATCATCACACCGTTCTCCCCTCTGCCTTCCTGTGATGGGGTGGGACTCACCACTGCGGTGCCCCCTGCTGGCTGTCCCGGGGATCAGCTCTGCTAGCCAGTGTGCCACAGCCACGTCTGCTCCAGCGACCCATGTTACTCCTAGGGCCGCGGCATCCTCGTCATGACACAGCCCTCTGTCTGCGCCACACTCTGTGCTCCCCCCTTCCAGGGGAATGTCACTGTCCCTTAGTCCAGCCACTTCCTCCACAGCGAGTGGAGGCGGCGGGAGCCGGGCTCACCCCCTACTCTGGGTCCCAGCCCAGGGACCCTGTAGATGGCTGCTGCTTGCGGTACCCCCTCCAACTCCTGCGCAGCCTCCCAGGGGCTCTATTAACCTTTTAGAGCCCAGTGTGGGGCAGGTGCCTTATCACACCCCCATACTCACCCAGCTGCCCCCAGCTTTCCCAACAGCTCCACTTTGCCCAATCTCCATCCCCCCAGCACAAGTAGCTGTACTGGGTCAGAGTTCAGCCTGCTCGCTTTTCTCAGCCTTGTTCCTATTATTATTATTATCATAGCAGCTAGGAGCCCCAATCATGGACCAGAACTCCATTGTGCCAGGTGCTGTACAAACAGAACACAGAGACAGGCCCTGTCCCAAGGAGCTGACAGTCTAAGAATAAGGCAAGAGTCAACAGATGGGGGGAACAAGGAAACAATGAGATAGTACTGGTCAACAAGGCACTATTTCACTACTCCTGTATGTAAGTAATGAGCTACACTGGGCTTTTGAAAAGAGTTTAAGGAAGTTAGGCTCCCAATCCTAGCCCAACCTCCTTCTGTTCGATTCAAGAGCCCGTCTCCAGTCAGAAATCTCAGCCCCTTGTAGACCATGACAAAGTCCTCTCCACAGTCACCTTTAGATTCGCACCCCTACACGAGGAATGGTCACATTTTCTAATCTATAGTCACTGTTGTTAATTTTTTAGAAATCATGAAAACATTTTTGTTCGGCTTTTTATTCCCCTCCAAACTTCTTTTTCTTTAGCAGAGCTGTTATAGTAGCAGCTAGGAACCCACTTCAGAGATCAAGACTCCATTCTGCTAGGTGTGTACAGACAGGTAACACAGAAAACAGTCTCTGAAGACAGCTTACGCCAGGGGTGGGCAAACTTTTTGGCCCGAGGGCCGCATCGGGGTTGCAAAACTGTATGGAGGGCCAGGTAGGGAAGGTTGTGCCTCACCAAACAGCGTGGCCCCTGCCCCCTATCTGCCCTCTACCACTTCCTGCCCCCTGACTGCCTCCCTCAGAACCCCTGACCCATCCAACCCCC